CGAAAATTCCTCTCAACCCATTGAACCTTATCTAGATTACTGTACTGGTACCAGTACACATCCATCAAAGCCTTCACTTTCGTTTTTTTATATCATTTTTCTACATCAAATTATCATAGTATTCAATTGGGTCATTAAGAAGACCACGTCGCCATATTGGTAGGTAAGCTGTAATACTGCAGATATACAACTCTGCAGGTGTCTGAAGACCCAAAGCAAAATAGATCCAAATGACCATGAAAAACATGAAAAGATATGTGGGCACTTTAGATGCATTTCTCTGCAGATTGCTTTGAAAAAGTGTCTCTCAAAGAGAATGGAAGCTGTAAAGCCAAAAGGTGGGTACAGTTAGCAAGAATTGGACATTGTATTTAGTTGTTGAGGCTTTTGTGTAATATTTGTATGTTTGTTTTCTGCTTTTCTTCTGATGCTGAAATGAATAACTTGTACATAATGGCAGTTTTGACTGGAAATTAAATAGATTAAAAGATCTCTGACTTTTGCACAGTATTGTATGTGGACTTTTGTACTAGGGCTGGGTGATAAGGCCAAAAATGTTATCACGCTAAAAAAAAATCATATCAGTCGATAATTATAATGATAGATGTCAAATCATTATTTCTTTTAAGTTTGAAGGCTGATTTTTGCTCCTGAGAGGTTAATTACTGTTTTAAACTAGTCTTTATGGTCAGAACATGATAAACGCTCGCCAAACAGTAGAACGTTTCACAATCTGTCATGGGAGAGCGGGAGAAAATTAGCTGTTTTTACCAGCTGGCACAGCATGGCTGCGATTTTAATATTCATACAATAATATACATAATTTGAAAGAAAAGATTGTTTGTTTTTAGCTCTCTGATGACGAGTGCTAGGCTATCTGGTTACAAGTGCTAAACTGGGTAGTTTTTCAACAACATCAGCTTAATACCAACAGCAAACATTTGCTGGTTCAGTACGTCAGTGATGGATCACACAATTCAAACACAAGCAAGCAGGCATTATGATTTCTCTGTGCTGTCGTAGTATTTTGAAGGGTGAAAAAACTGCGATATATCTGACGCTCGCTGTGCAAAAGCTTTAACAGCAGGGTGATTTTCTCGCACTAGACAAACATCTTCCTTTTAGGAACGTTTAAACTGAAATCAGTGCTTTTTTGTCTTGTTTAATCTACAATAACATCAATTTGGCTGTGCTGTGCGAGTGACAGAGCGCTGCTTCAAGTTAGCCAGCTGCTAAAAACAGCAGGCCTGGGAAGCTACCATTCTCTCACTCTCCACTGCCACACATACAGCATTTTCATTTTACTTTTGTTTAAAGCGGGCTGTAATTTGCATGAACCCCTGTCTTTTTACTTGTTGCTTAGGAATGCACTAAAATACGACTGTCCGAGCGCTGTAACAGCGCTGTAGTTGTGAGGAGCAGACGTGATTTAACGCTGCTAAAGCTGGTTAGGATGTTAGGAAAGAGGTGAGTTCACTTTAGGACAGTACAGTTACACCACTTATCTCGTCACTCACACTTGGTCAAAGGAGAACAAATCGCCGATCGCTCCACTCAAACAGGGAATGTCTAACCCCACATATCAAACATCGACAAAGTATATTTGGCGACTCATTTTCCTCGTCGCCCCCTCCCTCTCTAATCATGTCGAAAAACTCAGAAGTGCGCCCTCTCAAGGCGAAAGCAGAGTAGTGTCGCTTTCCTTGCAGTAGAAAACACCACCAGGGCTGTCGCTAGAACGCAAAAGTGCGAGAATGGTCTATCAAACATTTATCAAACATTTCTCATATTTCTGTCGAGGAAAGTTATATCGCGATAATTATTGTTATCATTTTATCGCCCAGCCCTACTTTGTACTAAAATATACCCTAAAACCTGGGCATCCTGGATGTGGAGTAAGGTTTTATGGACTGATTAAATTTGTAATTGTGATTATTTGCATCATGAGAAGCAGAAAATGCAACCAACTTCTAAGACTGAACTTTGGAGGTGTGGAAAAAATATCCATGCAGATTTTTTTGAAAAACTAAAAGCAAGTCTTTTGAAAAGAATGGAAGCTGTAAAAAAGGCAAAGAGTGGCACACTAAACACTAAAAACTGAGATATACACACACATACTTTTCCTGTTTTTGCTTCCCGATGCTGAAAAAACGCTTAGCTCGTACAGAAAAGAATGGTGGTCCTTGACTTTTTTCAGCTCTGTGTACGTTAACCAGGCTGGCTGTGCCGTGATCTCGGTGGTGCTGCGGGGCTCGTGAGCTGCACACTGTGGGATGCTAATGACAGCGCTGGATCACACCTCCTCACAGACCTCTAATCTAGCCTAATGACAGGAAGTGACTAAGTGAGACCTTCACACTGGCTGCCTGTGTGTATATGTGTGAGAGAGCGAGCGAGCGAGTGTGTATTTAGCATGCTAATGATCGCCTGCTGTGACCTCCTGTCAGCACGAGCCGGGGCCAATGCCTGATGAGGTCATCAGTGCGGGACGTGGCCTGTGTTGCCTCTTTAATGACCATCATTTGCTGTGTTCACTCGAAGCCCCCCTCTGAATTCAGTGCAACATCTGTTGTTTTCACATCAGTTCCCCACTGTAGTGGAGATGCATCACATGCGATCTTTGGAAGGGCAGTACTAATATTAAGCACTTCCTGAGGGTTTATTGAGCGGTGATATTCCTTCCATTTGCCCTCCTGTTCCTCAAAAGAGTTACGCCTTTCCAAAAATTACACCAGTTCCAAAAAGTTGGGACGGTATGTGAAATGCTAATAAAACAGAACTGCAAGTTCTGACCTGTATTAAGTTGAAAGTGGCGCAAAAACGCAATATTTAATATTTTACCATATAAACTTCATTGTTTTTTTGTAAATATATGCTCATTCCAAATTTGATGCCTACAACATGTTCCAAATAGTTGGGATGGGAGCATGTTTACCACTATGTTGCCACTGTTTGCTTTAACCCGTTAAATGGCCACCAGTGGGCCCAAAGTTTTATTACACACTTGTAACCAAAGAATAGCTCAACCAGTTTGCATTGAAGTCCCTGTAGTTACTGAATAATAAGCATTAATATGTAATAAGTCTGTGATTTCAAAGAGTTAAACAGCACTGAACAATCATTTAGGGACTGATATAAAGTTGGCTTTTTTTGCCATTCTCCTGTTGTACAAGTCTTCAGCTGAGCTGTGCAGTTGCATAGGGCCTACTTGCCAGATTTTGAGCTTTACTAATTTACATTTTCAGTGGAAGACAGGTCTGGACTGCAGGTAAGCCAGTCTAGCACCTGCACTCTCTTATGATGCAGCAAAAACGTGCAGAATGTGGCTTGGCGTTGTCGTGTTAACATAAGCATGGACGTTCCTTAAAAAGACATTGTCTAAAAGGCGGCATATGTTGTTCACAGCAAGTCATACTGTGCTCTAAACCACATTGGCAAGTCTGAGTGACCTAAAAGTAGACCTGGAGCAAGAGAAAGTCTAGCCTGTCTCTTATTCTGCCACTTCCAGGATCTGATGGAGAGGTTGTGTGCAATGCAGAGGTTTTTTGGCGCAATGACGTGAATTAGAGAAGGGAAGGTGAACGGACGGGTAGACTGACAAACTGAAATTCAGCACTGATTTCCACAGATAGGCCTGGTGCTCACCTGCGTCACTCACGATCTTCATTATCAGAGACATTAGAGACGCTGCCAGTGCTGTTTACACAGTAACATGCGTTCATTTACTGTGCCTCCTCCTGACATGCCAGCTCACATTAAACTTTCTTTGACTTTTGTCAAAGTTGTTTACAGTCACAGCTATTTTTGCCTACTTTTCTTAGTTTATGTATTTCTGTGCTTTAATTTATGATTACTTGGCTGTTCAGTGTCTTTAAATGAAGCAGTTAAATGAGCACTTAAGTGTATCTTAGAATGGCAAATTCTAATTCTGCTTGGCTGAGATATCTAAACATATGACCTCACACATCAGCTGAAGTCTGTGTGACAGGGATATTAAAAACCATTGTGCTGTTCACGGAATAATCTTTGATTCTCATGTTTGCATAACCATAGCCTTTTGTTAACTACATTGTTTGAACAAACAATTCTTAGTATGATTACAATAAATAATGTATTAATTTATTTACTGCATTTAGTGTAACTCTTTTAACTCCTGAACTTTAAAAAAAGGACCCTTTAAATTATTTCATTTGAATCAAATATTCCATGATTTACATGACATTTATTTCTCAGCACCAGAATAAACACTGAAAACATATATTTGACAGAAAATTACACAACTAAATATGTTTCAGTATGTGTGCCCACCCTATTACCTTTATTACAGCTTCCATTCTGTTCAAAAGGCAGTTTTTCAAAGAAAACTGCAGAGATGTTTTCCACATATCCAAAGGTTAGTCTTAGAAGTTGGTCGTCGCAATTCAGTTAATCCCAATTATGAATTTAGACTAATCAGTACATAAAACCTTCAGTTGTCATCTTTTTCGTCAATTTCTGTTCCCAGTAAGAGCTTCTTGACAGCTACTCATCCTTTCAGACCCATAGCATTGTGTTTTCTTCTCACAGTGGAAAGATGGGCTTGTTTTTCTTCTCTCTCTCCACGTTTAAAGCTTTAAGTGCTGTTTATCTGATGGGAACAGTTTTGGTGGTCTACCAGGTCTTGCAGTTCCATTTAATCTATGGCTTTTTAATTTTGCTTTTGTTTACAACATTTGAAAACACCAACTGCAGTTTACATTGTGTGAACATCTCCTGACGAATGGACTTCTGGAAAGTGTGAAGAGTAAAGATTTTGTTTGTGAAAGTAACAGACGTTAAGAACATGTTTTTTTCGTCTTCTTTGACATATGAGGTTTTGTGGACTTATGTTCTTTAGGCCATAAAAGACAAGATGTGATCCACAATCAGTGCATTCACTCCAAGAAGTTAGTTAAATATGGACCAGTGCCTGGATTTGACGCTTTCCATGCCGCCTACCATATGTGCTGGTTTGTCCGCAGGCTTCGTGATACCGAGTGGGATGCGAGCAGATTGGTGCTGGGCTGAGCGTGAAGGAGCATGGTGAAACACCAACCCTTACAGGTCTACGAGAGACAGCTGTGTTTGTCCTGCCTGACCGGGATCTATGGGTGCCGCTGGAAACGCTACCAGCGCTCCCATGACGACAGCTCCAAGGTAGGATGCTCCATCATCGCTTTCCTTGTTTGTTATCAATCAGTGTTGTATTATATGCAGATAAGCTCATCTGATGTTGAGACTATAAGCCAGATGTCTCTGATATACAGCACCATTATTGCCACTGCAGCACACCTGGCACAACACATACAGGCTCCCCTTTGATGGCGCAAATGAAAAGCAGAGGCTTTTTGTTCTTATCTTTTCCATCTCCTAATTATTACACGTCTGCATATGGCTTTTGGAGCTCTTCTAGGAATAGGAATAGGAACTAGGGCTGTTGCTAACAGTTCTATTAGTAATCAAGTGATGTACACAGTGATAATCATGTAAAGCAATGGATTTTAACAAGAACAAACCATGCAGAGCCTTTCGAAGAATAGACTTTCTTGGAAAGCAATAAATAAGAAAGCTTTTAAAAATGTACAGTCGTTTGCAAAAGCTCGACGAAGAATTTTCAAATTTCAGTGCATTATTACTTTCCATAGCTGCGTACTGCCATCGATCCAGTAGCGTTATTTTCATTGCCAACATAAAAACATATAAAATTTGAAATATGCATCATCGTACCGTCTGACCCATCCATACTCTGCCCACAGATACGTTCATTGCTAATGCTGCTAGGTCGGACAAGCTTTAAAAAACCCTGGCAAAAATCTCATTGAACCTAATGACTAAGGCTACGTTCACACAGCAGGTAAAAGTGGCCCAAATCTGATTTTCTCACCAAATCCGATTTTGTTTTTGGTTGTTCACAATATCGTTTAAATGTGACCTGTATGTGACATCAGTCTAAACAGATCAGCTCCTAAACTGACCTGCATGCACAAAAGAACAGTGCTTCACGTCGCTTCACGTGGCTCATCCAAAGGTAAACAATTACGACTGCCAACGAACGCCAGTCACTCCCGGAGGGTTCAGTTTCATCTTCGCCAGCATCCCAGGAGCCATCATGAAGCTTCATTGACTGACAGCTGGGCTCATCACCCAGCATGTGTTCGAGCTCACCATAAAAAGGGCGCGGTCACTTCTTTGGTTTGTGTCCTCGGATTCTTTAAACTTCACTTGCAGACTTTTAAGTGTTCTGCGGCCACGTTCAAACATGGAGCGGTTGCGGTAAATCATCAGCCTAAATGTTTATGAAGTCTCAGCAGCGCAGAATTATGACGAATGTGGAGTTGGATTGACGTAAAAGTCGCATGAACTACAGTCTGGCTGTTCAGACTGAGTCGCATTGCCGCATATCGGATACACGTCGGATTTCAGTACCACAAATGAAAACGTCTCAGATTGGAATTGAAAATGTCAGATTCAGTGTGTTTTTTGCTGTTCACACTGACACACAGATACACATCTGTGTCACATATAAAGAAAAAGATTGAATTTGCGCCACTTTTACCTGCTGTGTGAGCCTAATTGTAGCATACTTGGCTTTTGTGAAATAATTTCACAAGTAATTACAATTTTATTTTGAATTCTGTGCTTTTCGGATGGATCAGATTCATGTAATAAAGCCAACGTTAGCATGGTGGCAAATTAGTTTCCACGCTGTAGTGAATCTAAACCGAGATTGCTCTGGTTTCTCATTAGGTTGAGTAAGATTTCCATAAAGCATTTCTGACTTCAGGACAGTTGCTATGAAAGGACTCATTTGTGGGTGAAGCATGGACAGATGAACGGCAAGCTAATGACTAAAGATTCTTTAAGAACATTCTTTTAATAAATATTTATTTTTAAGCTTAGTCAAGTGCTTGTGACAGCCTAGAATATAACTAAAGGATGCTGTGAGCCAGTACAGTTCCCTTTCTCCTCTGCTGTCCGTCTACGTGTGATAGGTCGAGAGAAACTCAAGCCGAGGTTTCAGGTTCTCCCTAAGGTTGTGTTGTAGGTCATTCCTGTCTGTATACAACACACAGTGGAGCGCACTCCATTAAATGTCTGCCCTTTCCGCTCTGCTCTGGTGACACCAACACACGTGCCAATATTAACTACAGCGTTTAGTCAGCCAGAAATGATCGCTAGTTCAACAGGACGTCCACCCTGGGGAGCAGAGTGATCGCATGTATTGACTAAAGTGGAAACAGTGCCAGATGCAGAATCGATGCTAATCTTTGCCTAAAGTTCTCCAAATAATCATGACGCAGTGGCTTAAAAGAGAGTAGATGTTCAATATGATTGGCTTCGTCTCATCTGATAAAAAGAAAAGCATTTTGTTTCATGTTTTAAATACATTTGATAAAGGCTGCCAGTACTGAACTGATACAAAGCTCAATTCCAAAACAGCTGGAACAGTAATAACAAAACTGTACGCAGTGATTAGAAATTCTGTTTGGCTGGTATTAAACTGATAAATCACAGTATTTCTTAAACACAGTATTTAATGTTTTATCACATGAGCTCTTGGTTATTAATATGTCAATATATGGTCCAAATTTGATGCCTGCAACACATTCCAAAAAAGTTGGGACCACAGCATCTAGAAGGCAGCATAAGTTGCTCCAAAATGTATCGATTTTAGTGTAAATGGTGCTTTCATAGATGTACCAACTAATACACCCCCTTATCATGAGAGATGCTCGCTTTTAAACTTTACACTGTTAACAATCTGGGTGGCCCTTTTGGTTCCTTGGCTGGGAGAAGACAGTGTCTGTTATTTTTATAAACAGTCTGAAAAGGTTGACTTGTCAGACCATAATGCATGTTCCCACTGTGCCCACCAGTCCATTTCAGATGAGCTCAGTCCCAGAGAAGTAGGCAGCATTTTGGATGTTGTTGACATACGCCTTCTGTTATGTTTACTGACAGTGGTTTGTCAAAATGCTTCAGTTATGGTTTTCTTGCACTTTATGCATAGAGAAGTCCACGAGAGCATAAATGTCCTCACTCTCTCTGGATGACCCTCCCTCTCCCCCTATCACTCCCCACATTGCTGGCCAATGCTAGCGAATATATGGCCAATGTTAGCGAATTGGCAGTTAGTGTTCTCCTGCTAGCATGTAGAGCCGCCCACTGACGTCGCATTAGAGGCAGTTTGGAAAGATGCAATCCTTGTGTGATTCTTGGAGGAAGCTTGTGTTAGCCTTCGCCCTCCCAGCTTGGAAGCATCGTGTGAGAGGGGTAGACCTAGCTTGCAGCAGCTGGTTTTGCATCGATTTTTCCACTGCCTTTTAAAATTACCATCAGAATAACATTTAAACACTCTAGACTAGATCTGCTGTGTAGTTGCACAAAATAAGCCATGATTTTGCCACAGTGTGCATGTGCAGTCTGATATACCCCCATAGGATGTTATGGTGGTAAAGAATTAATGCTGGAAATTTTATTAGAACCGCTCTCTCTTCCTCACTGAGCCTTCATTTTCTGTTTTGTCTTTAGTGGGCGGGGCTACATGCAGTTTGCATGATGAGCTGCCATATCTTAGTAAATTGAAGGTTAAATTCAGGCACCATGCATATTGTCAAATCAAGGCACGCTTTGTGCAGCGCTTGCATGTACACCTGGCCCTGAGACTTTAGGCAAAGTTTAGCATTGATTCTGCCTCTGGCCCTCAACTGTCAGTCTTCTTCTCCACAGTGTTAGTCAGACAACTATAAAAATCCCAACTGCTATGATTGGTCATGGCCTGCACTGCAAAGATGGAGGGTTCAAACTGATGCAGGCTTGGCAAGACACACACTAAAGCGCTCGTAACCCTGAAATGAGAAACAGGACTTCCTGTGGCCTAGTGGATGTCACGGGTATGCACGCATGAGGACCACAAGACCAGTAGAGCCTGTGACAGAGATGTTATCCTCTAATGGGACTTTTGTGTTGCTCTTGTGAGAAGTATGAGGTTTTCTGAAGCAGGTAGATTTAGAAAGATGTGCTGAAGCTCAAGAACATGTGTTCCAGTGGAAGGTCAGGTCACCATGTCCATGCTCTTCAATAAGAAAGAAAAGATGTCACTAAGTCCTGAACTGAATCTGGAGAATACTTAGCTAATTGGACTATTTTCAGTTTTCTCCTTTGTATTAGTTGTAGAAAACAGGTCAGACGCTTCAGAGCTCTGGCAAAGGTGTATGTAGTGCTCTGTTGCTTTGAGACTAGCTGCATAACTAGGGCTGCTGTGGTGGCCATCATGGCCAAAGGGAGGTTGCTGACAAACTCCTTTAATATTTTTTAATGCGTCAGTATTAAAAAAAGAATATGCCTTAAGCCTTATTCCAGTAATCTTGGTTGGTGTATGCATGCTGTGTATCTCAACAGCAGAAATTAGAATATTATACAGTTAGACTTTATTCCAGAAGCAACACTGTGCGTTTTTGTGACATTTTACCCTTTTATTTTTATGTGACAGTCACGAGTAAAGAATTTTACAGGAGTATTTTTTTTACATTTCTGTGCATTTTATGTGCCACAGCTGGCTTCCAGTTGTTAGTAGAGCACAAGTTCAATCCCTAGTCACCTAGTCACATTTAAGGTCACTGAGCTCTTCAGTATGACCCGTTCTACTACCAGTGTTTGACCATGGAGATTGCATAGCTAAGTTCTTTATTTTATACACCTTTTAGCAATGTGTGTGGCTGAAACGCCTGAACTCGGTAATTAGAAGGGTGTCCACATACTTTTCAAATCAAAGGAGCGTGAAGCACTACAGAGGAATCACTGCATGCTATTTTTTTTAATCAATAACAATAGTGACCTCAAACAGAAGCCACATAGTGCACAACAACAGCAGCTAAAGCCTGTAATGTGCACGTTTACAAACCATCTATTAGAGCTCATTTATTTCAGCTATTAAACACTTAAGAAATGAGCAGGTGTGTTTAGGTAAACAGCAATTACATCATGCAGTCACATTGAACAGAGGTGAGTAGAGTAGCCTAAACCAGTACTCGAGTAAATGTGTTGGTCCTTTGGTGAAATAAAGACCAAAACAGAGGTAAAAAGTAAAATTACAATTTCAAAAAAACAGCTAGTAAGAGTACAAAGGTAGTTTTAAAGGGGAACTCCACCGATTA